AAAGCCAGCTCACATAGGAAGATATCAGAAATCCAAAATTCTTTTCCGCTTCTTATTTGCTACCCCGTAGAGGCTAAGACATGACACAGCACACTCCAGGCGGCAGCAGACAACTTCTGGATCTTGTCTTTTGAACTTGGTTTCAAGCTATGTACCATCACAAAGGCGCCCACTTCTTGTAGGTAGTACTCTAGAGTTCTAACTCGCGCCCATCTGCCGCGCCAAGCGACCCAGCTCAAGTCTTCTGAAGCACAGTACAGATACGTGGCGCCGGAGCCACGTAAGACTCCGGGGGTCGCACCCCCGCCTGCTTGTGAGTGTGGTACTCCCAGATGCTGCATAATGCAATTCCACTGCTTTCGAAAAACATTGATTGAGCCAGGAAAAAGCTTAGTATCCGGAGACAAAGAACCAAAAACTTGTTGCGCCACCCAAATGATAGATTCATCATCTATACGGCCGCGCTGCCTTCGCGCAAAACGCGCGGTCTTCGGATCTCTGATGCGCACAAACAAACTCTGAGTGTCATGAAACACGTCCGAAGGAAAAATCAAATCTCGACGTTCCAATGCCATCATCTCTGATGGATGCAGCATGGCACCAAAACCCAGCAAGACGATAGCAGCCCACGCTGGCCAAGACCATAGGCAAGCGAGGCAAACTGCAGCACGTATGATCATGGGTGGCAGCACCGACCGGCACACGCCCGGCTCGTACACCTGCCATTTCTTGTCGACTTGCCATGCCAATGTCATAAAGTTGCGCGTCAACGGATATACATCCTGCATCCCTGTGATCGCATACACAAAAAGGTAACGCGGCAATCCAGTTTCAAAGCAATAAAGTCCGTAGCCTCTCAAGGCCAGACAAGTGGCCTGCGGATCAGAGACCAAAGCGTCCCATGAAATCCCCACTTCACTTTCCAGCCAAGCGCGAAAGCCGTCAATGCACTTGGACATCCGCTTTGAAGTTGCGGGAGCAAAACCTTTCTGAAGGTCAAGTTTTCCACGACCTACACGCTTTGAAGTTGGAAAAACCTTTTCAGGTCCCGGGTTCCGCTCAATGTCGCCACCAAGCAACAAAAGGAATCTGAGCCACCTGGCGGCCAACTTGGGAATGCCACTGGATGCCACGACTTGGTCAAAACGCCAAGTGGAACCTGCTTGCAAATCAACGAACCATCTGGGCAACTCCTTAGATGGCGGGCGGACCGGACGGTCCCTAGAAGGATCATCTGCGCGATTATCAGCTGAATAGCAGTGCAGAGATCCTAAGTACAAACCACTGCCGATGACATAGGGAATAGTGCCTTGCAGAACTCTGCAAATGGCATAGCTACTAGACCTACCTTTCGCTGATGCCCCAATGGTGACTCGACTATCCAGCAAGGCCACCACACGAGAGTCTGGTTCAGCTTTGGCAAGAGACTTGATCAGAGACTTATACGTACGTGTTTCGTTAACATTGATATGACCCGGGGTTTTGAACTTATACCTAAACAGTTCTTTGAAGCAACAGCCATTAACAATTTCACCAATCCATTCGGGATCCTCAAACCAGTTACGTGGGGGATACGGCTCTTCTGGGACTAAACTAAAATCAAGACTATCATCCAGAACCTCGACTTCAGCAAGGGTTCGTGCGCGCGCAGTGTCGGTGATACGGTCCACATGACCGTTCGCTGCAGCCGCCAACCCAAGAGCCATCTTCCGCACCAAAGGTATGGGATACGCAGCTGAAAAAGCTGCCACTGCTTCACCTGGGCGAGGCAAACGGCCGAAGACCGATTTTGCGTCAGGGGAGCATTGGAGGTCGAATCTGCGAATGGAGTCTGGTGTGAAAGCACCTTCGATTTTGAAATGGTTACCCCTATGATCACACGAGCATTTTGACTCAAGCTTCACCAACCACGGCTTGTTATGAAGCCACTTTGACGGCTTATGAAATGCACTGCCGTAGCTACAAAATGCGTAATGGGAAATCACACACCCAAGTCGGATCAGAACCTTGTAGCAATGCAGCCTGAACAGTCTACTGTTACGCGGCTGCTCAATGCTAATGTAGGACCCAACCATCAAAGCAACGGTCAGCACGAAACAAGCTCGTTGGGCTAGTCTGTTATGATAAGCTGTAAAAAGATCACTGGGGTCGAAACCATGGGGAAATCGATTGGATCTAACTTGAGGCCTGCGAAATGTACCAAAGCTTAAACAAGGCACTCCAGCATGAAAATCTCGGACCACGCGACGCAGAGCCAAACTAATCAGTTCATGCATTGTCGATGCCTCTTGCAAGTCATGGCGCCGCAAGCGCCGGCCATCTAAGTCAAAACCACCGGGAGTGCTGAGCCCTTGGGCTGAATGTGCTGCTGACCAGTTTCCGCTACCTCTGAAAATTTCGCACACATCAAACAAAATACCCTCAGTCATGGGAGGTGGTACATTGAAGGAGGTGGCTTCAGGAGGAGAAGAAAATTGAGGAGGAGGATTAACAATTTGCTCAGCTACCTTGGAGTCAAGGCCATGCTCGATGAGGATTGCCGACGCAGGGCTTAAGAGTTTTGTATAAAACCCCCGCTGTTCCGTATGGCGCCACACTTCTTCAGTCACATTCTCGCCTACTTAACCACAGACAACGGCCCCACCGGCTGGAGATGCATCTGTGGAGTAGAGGCGATCTGAGTACTTGGCCCTGAGGTCACTCTGGGCAAGGGGTCACAAACATGCAAGCAATTGCAACTCGCAGATCGATTTTCGGGATAAACAAAACACCTCATCCTGACCAAGACCGCGGCCCTCTTCAAAAATACTAGACATCACAGCAGACAGCCCTCTCCGGAAAAGGAGGACATGAACCCAACATCCGACAACGGGCGATAACAATCTAGGTGTACAGCGACCTTTATGAGCAATCATTAGGGTCATGATGCAAAGGATGGCTACACGGTTCCTTGGGGCCATCACCCTACCAAGAATGCCATCGAAATCGGAGCCTAAGATAATACCTGAGGTCTCATCTCTGCGTTGTTTCGATTCTTGCTGAATAAGACCCACAGACTTATAGGCAACCGATGCTTTCTGGAAAACCTCTGTGTCTCTAAGAGCTGGTTTTTGGAGGAGCTTACTTTTTGGGAGTTTTTGGAGGCCAACATGATCATCGATGGCGAGTAGCTCCACAAAATCGGACCTGGGAACAGGACATCGATATCTGAGCGTCTCGCTCGGTCTCATTGCACCACACAAGAAACGCAACACATTACCATGGGATTGCTGGGCAATTTCCACAGCCAAGTTATCCCCCATGGCGAGAGTTTTTAGGCAAATCAACAGTTTCTCACCATGAAACTCATCTCTGAAACATTTGAAATGCTCAAGTTCATGCGACTCGAACTCAAGGCGCAAGGCGTTGCGCATGGCACGTTCAGGGGATACGAAAAAAGTGTAATAAAAAGCCGTGAGATCGTCAGCTGAATATCTAAACACTTCATCATCCCTTAAGTGCAACAAACCTAACATACTGCCAGGTGCGAGTTCTTTCGTTGAACGAGTGACCGAATGCATTCTGGAGTTTATGGTGACTGGGTTCACAATGAGGCGATCATGCGATTCATCTTTGGGAACGCAAAAGAGACCTACTGCTTCTCGGAAATCTTTAGTCCTACTTGGAATGATCATGCAAGCTCCCAATTCATCCCACCGTGATGCAAGCTTCAACAACTCAGATCTATGACACCTAACTTGTGCGGGATGAGGTTTCGGCCATTCAGAAGGGTCTTTCCTCAAGGTTTCGGGATCAATATACGCAGCTCTGACCAAGGGATCGTCGAGGAAACTGGCTGCATCGAAGGAAGGCGGACTTTTCCACTTCACCCGGTCGGATTGAACCTGCATGGCGCCCACCGTGGAGCGAGCACCCGAGGCATTGCCGCAGTGATGCGACTTGGGGTCGGCTTCATCTGTCTGAGACTTTGGAAAAGCAAAATGCTTACCGTACGGATCAAAACTAGACTTCAAACTTGCAGCTAATTGCGAGAGGTCCTCTAACCTAAGTTTACACCAAGGCAGTTCCTGGATATGCTTAATTAACTCTGAAAACTTACCATGAGCTCGCCCCAACCCGACAGCTTCAAATGAAGGCATGTGGAGGAAAAAGTCAAGCAATCCTTCCACCCTTTCGATGACGGAACGCTGACTTGGGGAGATTGGAGCACCGACACAGGCACTACTAGGTGGACTCGCCTTATATCCTAACACCTGCCAATTCATAGTGCTGAGAGTGATTTGCAACAACAGATGACGAGTCTCATGGTATCGGCGTCGCCTACGCCTACGCGGGTTCAGTTTGGATGCATCCGTCCATCTCCTAGGAAGGGGGACAGGCCACAAAGCCCGGTTGGGCTTTTCCACATTGCAAGCGTTGGGATGAGGTCTCAAACTAGCTCGAACAAAATGCCCTAAAGCACTATGCGACCCTAAGAAACCCTTGATCATGCAACGAGCTAATTGCACACCTGAAAAAACTGCTGATGAATTAAGGTCAGGGACGTCGGAAACAGGATCAAAACTTAGCACAAAGCCACTTGGCAAAGCCGAGGCACTCTCACTAGCCAGACGATCAGAGCTCTGTGCGGTCAGCTCTGAAACGTGCTCGACATGAGCATGGCAGTGATCTAACCTGTCGTGCTTCTGGCATCGGTCGAGGCGGCATCTTGTCTTCCGCCCTTCCCGGTCCCTTTCGGCTTCCTGGGTTTCAGTTTTGGATTCTGCTTGGTCTGGTAGTCCGAATCGTCTTGGGTCTTTTTGGGTTTTGAGGTTCCCAAACTCTGAAGGCGTCCTTCCAAGTAGTCGATGTCTTTCACATAGGCTATGTTGGCTGACACCCAAGCCGGATGGCAGAGGCGTGCGTAGGGTTGCAACCCCGGATGGCGTTTGGCTGAGGTCAGGAGATGAAATGGAGGTTCCTGCCATCCCGCTAACAACCACGCCACGCTGGTGCGGCCTTGGTCTATCGAGCACTGCTCTGTGAAAAACAGCGTGCGACTCAGGATCCCCAACATTTCCACATTGCCTGAATTGTACCCCACTGCCCAAGCTTCTGCTAGCATGGCTGTGAAGTATGTTAGCAGACGATGCTCTGCCAGGGGCATGCGGCGTTCCATGTAGCGACGAATCAAAGATCCGTCTTCGCGAGACGGATCCATCCCCAACTCCCTCAAGGCGTTGGCTCTGGTGCTGTTGGCAACTTTTGGAAGGTCGGCTACTGCACGTAGGAAGGCTTCTCGGGCCATGCAGCCCTTCACTCCTGAGCTTGATCCTCCTCCTGAGCCGCTGTCCAAGCCGCCTCTCTGAAGGGCACCCAGAACTGGGTCTGAGGACTTGCTTCCCACCAGCTTCTGTAAGAGCGCCTGATGTTGTTGCATTTGGACCATCAACATCTTTTGGAGAGGATCTGAGGTCGCCCCTAGCAAAGCTTCCAAGTCCACTGGATCCACTGCATCTTGCTCCTCCTCGGCCGCCTCCCGCTGGAGATCCACCAAAGCCAGATCCTGCTGAGCCGGAGTTTGCTGCGCAGTCAACTGACGGCGCTTCTCGGCTGCGCCAGCCCTGGGAGGCGGGGAACCCGCCAGCAACTGCAATTTGCCCCACTCCTGTTGAGACAACTGAGCGCTTGACCCGGGGACGCCAAGGAGCGGAGGTGCCTTGGCTCGAGGCGGCGCAGCTGATGGGCCCTGAGGCAGAGCCTGAATGGACTGCATACTCTCGAGCTCTGCAATGCGAGCTTTCAGCAAATCCACTTCCGATGCAGCTTGACCGGGATCGGCCGGCCTGAGCTCTGGTGTGCTCGGAGCATACTGCGACCCTGCCTCTTCTCCTGTGAAATAGTCCTGAGCTGTCAGGGGCTCCATGATATCTAACCACTCTTGGGCTAACTCGATGACTGATGTTTTGACGGGTCGACCCAAAACGCCAGTGCTCGACAGGAAACCTACCAGTTGGCTTTTCTGCGTCGAAGAAAGTCGGCCGATGGTGACAAAGGCCGAAGCGAACTCCCAAGGCAAATCTACCAGTTCGATGGTCAAATTTCCATCGCGCCTGCCACGTCTGGTTTCGAAAGGAACCTCTCCGGAATGGAAAATGGGCTCGGCGGCTGATGTTGCAGCCTGAGGTAGCCCTGCAATCGTTTCTCTGATCACTCCATCCGGCTCTGCCGGTAATGCCAGCATGAACCCACCCGTTCGAACATAGACCACCAAACATTGAACCAAAACTGCTGGAGAACTGTCTGACTCATCCCTTTGTAAAAACACAGCCGGCAAAGTGCGGCCGGCTGGGACCTGGGATGCCAGGTCTCGGATCGCCCTCTCCGAGAGGGCGCCACTCAGGCCTGAGCTGGCCATCTGCTCCGAGCCCCGGAGAGATAGCACGCCGCGTGGTCTGCCAGAAAGGGCGGTGGCAAAGCAGCTAACTGAGCAGCTGTCTCAGCCGCCAAAGCTCGTTCCTCAAAGGCTACGGTGATGAGATTCGGATCCGAGAAATCTGGTGAGTCAGAACGTTCCTCAACAACTGCGGAGACAACTGCTGATGATGAGTATCCTGAAGCAGTCTGAGATGGCCGGACACTGATGGTAATGTCAAGCCCTGCCAACTGCACTGTGATGGATTCCACCTCTGGGCTGAGAGTTGACCTGCTTTGCATCAACAGGATCTCCGGTACTCAGCCAAGCGATCTCGAGGGCCACTGATATCTGCAGTGACTGGTGAAAAAGCTACAAATGCCAACCTCACCAACCCAGATGCAAACTTTCAACACTGAACCGAAAATGCAAATGCCCCAATGCAGATTCCAGCCAGGCAAGAGCAACAGCACAAGACGATCAGAAAAAGTCCAATGGCACCCCAAGGGCAAGTGGTAGGAGCAGTGAACAGGAAACGGACTTCTCGAAAGAGGTCCGGCAACCACCAGGGCACAACCATCTGCAGCTTGAACCCCAAAAAGCTCTGGAGCAATCGAGAATCGGACAGCTTCATGAGATGGAAGTCATATCATCCTAGATCCCAAATTCTGCTCAGCTAACCAGGCTTGAGTCCTGATATCGCTCTGATCTCCAGGAGGTGTCAACCTGGGAAACTGTTTGATAAATTTTGATCCAAAGAATTCACAGGCGTCTTCAATGGGACACTAAAGCAATGTGCAAAGCATTTTGGAAACGAATTCTCCAGCAGTGGAGACACTAAAGGTTTCTCATCCGCCCTAAAGTCTTCAGAAAATCGTTGCTGCGTGTTCACCAAGCATGAGACACATCCCCTGAAGCGGAAGCCTAGGTGTCATTCAAAGAGTCACAAGTCATTGGGAGTTTTACACACTACAAGGCATGTTCTAATTGACGAAGAACACCCAAATTCGTGTCTTCGAGAGTCCACACTTCCCATGTTGCATACAAGGTTTCTGAGTCCACCACGGACACTCTCTTGGACAACCTGCCCCGGAGAAGGGCTTCAAACTGCTTTTTCAGAAGAGAAATGGGACAGTTCTTTTGCTAGAAAAGGCTTCTTAGAAGGTGCCACGCTCTGCCAAAGAAGTCAATTTGATAGAACGTTAATCTCGACATGGGAAACATGTGTGGGTTTGTGCCTTGTGAACCTGGTCAAAGCACAGTTCGACCGCCATCGAAATGAAATCGTGTCCAATACGTGCATTGGCGATTCCACAATCCATGGGAGTTCTAAGGAGAAAAACAAGCGTTCCGACCACCATCAACCACGACAAATTGGAACCTCGCCTATCCATCATTGACTCAATGGTGGCATAGCTGGGCACTTTCTGAGCAACATGAAACTTCGGAGCTGGATGTTGAGCAGATATTATTGGGACATCATCTATTGATTTTAAGTCCCTCAGTGGCATTGGTTGAAGTTGATGCGGTAAAACAAAAATTAAACAACTGATCTACCAGATCTATCAGTGATCATCCTGATGGAGACAAGCAACGTCCTGGAGAAATGTCTTCACCTCGGAAGACTGAAGTCTTGAGCGTCTTCAACGTGCATAATGTACGTGCGCGGTGACTGGTTTGAAGATACGCAAGACATGATGTCTTCGGTAGCGGCGAGGTATTTGAGAGACTATCCAATACCATTTCTCCAATTGAGGCGTCTTGGAAAGCTGAGAATCTGGCAGGATCGCCAGTGGGTGACATACCACCTGGGAGCAACACTTTAGATGCTCTGCATGAAACATCAAAACACCGAATTCCCAAAAGAATCAGAACTGTGCACTCAAAAAGACTAAACGTGAAAGTGGAAAACACCTATTAGATATAGTTTGTAGACAAAGCTTGTCTTCCAATTGGCCGTGTTGCAAACCCATGTTTGATGTTGGTTGGGAAGGCAGTTCACTTCCAACGGTATGCCAGCGTATGAAAGCCCTCTGCCTTGAGCTTATGTCTGTAGCACCTGAGTTTGTCTACCGAACCGCAAACGAACATAGGATGTCCCAAGCTGTCCTGATGCTGCTGCTGGAGAAAAGGCCTGCCAATGAAACGCGAAGCACGAACCGTGTGACGTTAAGTTCCAAAAAGATCTAGGAACCAAATGAATAGTGCGAGCACTTCTTTGGGGGGGCTTCCTTGAAGAAGCGTGACCTATCCTGCGTCCATATCTAGGAGCGAACTTCTCCCTGACTTAATTTAACTGTTAACTGTATATATAAGTAAGGAGGCAGGGCCCAGCAGGCTTTAAAAAAGGACAAAAAAGAACAAGTCTTGACTTATTGTGTCGCTCGTAGTCTCCAGATCTCTACAGTGCTAGGGTGAATCAAGACGTATGTCAAAACAGGCAAAGCTTGTGAGCACTTTGTTTCAGTATACCCTGTTGCGCAGAAACAAGTCAGGAATGTATCCAATCTCCAACGGATGTTGAACAGTAACATAGCGAATGCCGAGCAATGGCCTCAATGGCCTCTACGGGATCTATTGAATCAATTCCGAGCTCCGATGCGTCTATCGACCTGCTTTGACAACTTCACATCCTCTGTCGCAAATGCCAAAGCGCGGACCATACCTCCAAAGAGACCATCTCTGGTGCAACAGCTTTGCGCTGCTCAACATCTCATGACATTGTATGCCACCGAAAAGGAAAACGAGACAAGAAATTGTTACTAGAAGCGATGCCCTTGTTTCTAATAGCTTCTTGTTACTACTAGTAAGGCACTTGTTACTAAATGCGTAAACTATGGTAAAATCGCCAAATCTCATGAAATGTGATGTCTGGTGTTCTTTTTCCGCTTCCCATGGCAGACTGATGGTTCGCTTCTTCCGCCTCCATCATCACAATGCGCTAAGAAGCGCTGGAGTGGCTCTGCAGGTGTCTTCTTCGTGACCTGGATGATTCCGAGGGTCTCTGGGGGAGGTTTCCCGGGATGTCTGGCAGCAAAGGAAACGAGATATTTATATAATGAATTATAATGAGCACCTTAAGAGCTTCAGTTTAGAAGTTCCGGACTCATCGCAAATTTTGCTGCGAAAGCTGTGAAAAGGCAGAGGGAAGGACGTGATTTGCACAGCTAAAGGACAATTCCAGTACAGGCAAACCTTCAATGAGTTCTTACCTACCAGCTTCTGCATCTTCAGAACAAGTTCATAATGCACATCCAATAAGTTAACTGAATCTGACGTTTCCAAGAAGCTCAGCGCCCCACCAGCATACCTCAGCGCAGGTCACAACAAGCTTCATACATGTAGCGAACATGATTGAACCTGTGCAGCTTCAAGTACTTCACGAGGGCTGCAGGTCTTCTTCTCAAGCGAGTAAGAGGCGCAAGAGTGTTCAAATGGGTGGTGAGTGAAGTGTGTTCGGAAACTTGAAGACTGTTGCATCTAGAGTCTGCCGCGTCCTCGATCTGCCAAAATGTTTGAGGTCAGCACGCAGGTCAAAGATGAGCACAGAGCCATCACAGGTGCCACTGGCCAACAGGTAGCCACCTCCGAACCCCGGCGAACAAATGTGGAGAAGGCATCGTTTGAAACGGTGCTATAGGCCAATATACACTACTGTATATAACGTTCAATCGAGAACACACGGGTTGGCAGCGGAGGCACCCACAAGCAAAGCATCAAGTATGACGTCAACGTCTGCGTCCACGTGCCCACCATGCCAGCTAGAGATGTGAAGCATTGTGAAGCCAGGCCCCGCCTGAATGGTATGAGAGGGAACTGATGCCGCTCTCAACGGACACCTGCCCAAGCGCAGTTTGCCAGTTCTTGCCTGTTCCGCACGCTTTGGTCCATTGATCAAATGCATCACATGCATTATGAAGGCAGCATGCCCAATTTGACTTGTCTACCGGGCCTGCTGAATCTGCTTGGAATTCCTTAGATCCCAAAAAATAGAATATGCTATACCGGGGATGTATATATACACTCAAAGTGAGACTCTAGAATCAAAGATGAACATTCAATTTCACCTCACTCAAGTTCATACCCCAGATACCCTTCAGCAATGTCGGCCAAAAGAATCCAAGAGTCTTCACATCCCAGAAGATCAGCTCTGCATCATCTCCTCCTGTGATGAGGAGGTCACTGTTCTGGGTGGAGAAGGATAGACCTCGCCTCAGACATCGCCCGGGCAGAAATTCTACTCGGAAGGCTCTGTTCTTGTGAATCTTGTACAGTCAAATCCTGAACAAGGTATGGAAACAACATCCTTAACATGATACCATCAACCAAGCCAGGGTACACAACACCTCGATGGGCAAGAGGAAAGCGGCAGCTGTGGCGCAAAGCCGCAGCATCCCAAACCTGCAAGCCGACATGGCACCACTCATGACATGGCCGAATCTGCAAAATTGCCAAGTGAGACCTCAGTCTCAATCCACGGAGCTCCTCTGTGGACAAACACTTGAGGCCATATGTTGGCTTGAGGCCACGCGTGGCGAGCCTGGAGATTGCCTTGCTGATCACCCGCCGCCAACAACTCCTAGAGAAATCAGCAAACGGCCAACTGGGCTGTGAATCTGAGACGCAGGTAACTCAGCTGGTCACCACCCTGAAATCTGCCCAGGATCTGGCTAGGGCTGCTAGGGTCTTGTGTCAGCCAAAGTCTGTTTTGTTGCTTTGTGTCGTTTGTCTTACATCCGCCAAGGAATGGATTTCTGCAACGAATATATGAGAGCTCCTTCTGTAGAGTCAAAGGAAACACGGCAAAATGGTTACCATCCGGATCGGAATGTCTTCCACTGCAGAAAGCTCACTGGACCAAAGATGTTTGATTGAGGAGGTCAAGTGCCACCACACTTCAAGCACCTGTGGCAGTCGTCACTGTTACATCTACTGGGCGGCTGTAAGTTGTGTGCCAGCGTTTGACAAAGCTTAGCCTTTTCACTGGTCAGGTTTTACCCATATCCAAAGGATCCCAAAAAAATATCACAAACTCACCAGAACTGCGATGTCGCTTGGGGTACAAAAAAAACAATCATGGCTCCTGCATGCACGCAACAACTAGGCAAAGCAAGCACACATGTTCCTCGAGGTTGAACATGACTCATATAGTGGTCAAAAAGGCTGTTGATAAAATGGTCAAGATGAGTGTGTTAAACGATCGAAGCCACGCACTCCCTGCACGACTCCTTGCACCACTTCATTTCATGTGTTTCACCATCTTCCAGGGGTCAAAGCTGAAGTCCCCAGCCGCATCTCTCACCATCTTCAGTCGAAACTACAACCCATCCAATGAACCAAGAAACAAAAGCAACCAAAAAGAAAGTGACTTCTCCGGCTAGTCTGGTTGGAACTTGCGGAAATGACTTTCATAACATGCGCCCTCATTCTCCTGGCGCAAGGAGGAATAGCACAGAGCTTCGATGCCTGCTTCATCTGCCTCCAGCATTCCTTAAGAAGTTCACAACAGTTCAGCTCACTTGCTCCCCACTTGCAATATCTTTGACATCAATGGAGCGAAAGAATGAAAACAGAACACGTTTTCTGTCACCAAGGTGCCAGGAAGTGGGGTTGGCCCACTTCCGTGGAATGGTTGCCTAGGTGCACCGGCGTTTGTGCAGGCTGGATGGCCTCGTGTTGGGGATCTATATACTTGAAGACAACAGAAGCTCCAACCTAGAAGCAACGGCCTCCACCCTATTAGCGATGGCCTAGAACCTAGCAATGGCCTCCAACCTAATAGCGATGAAAAACATTCATAAAGGTCCAGTGCTTCCAAAGAAACCGTCAACATGGTTCAAGAAACAATTTTTCTGTGGACTCAATGAACCATACCTGTCTTCCAACAAACCACCTCTACATTGCGTCCAGGCCGCAAAACCACATGGCCACTGGAGCTTCCAGATGCCAGGAACTTACCTCAGGGCCGACAAACATGGATTTGGTTGACTCTTGCAAGGTCTTAATGATCGTCCATGTATGCGCAATTGGATGATTTATCTGCGAATCCACCCCATTCTTCCCTGGCCTTCCCGCGAGATCGCCACCGCCGTGGCCGCCACGCCGTGCGCGTAGCTCGTCTTCACCACGGAGGCCGCCCGCTGCGGCGAGGCGTCCAGCAGCCGCACCGCTCCGTCGGAGCAGGCGACGGCCACCCAGCTCTTGCGGCGCTCCTCGGGACAAATACAGCGCAGACGGTTCTGGGAGGTGGAAGGGGTCTGTGGGTCTCAAAGGGGCTGAGCCATGCCATAGGGCCACCAAAGGTGTTAGGGCCATAGCCACACCTACTCACGGGCAGTTCTTCGAATCACAACATGAGGGTGAGCGCCCGTGATTTTAGAGCTGAGCTGCTGCTTCGCTGAAGAAGCTCAGGTCTAACGCCCTTGCGCCAGATGGCAGAGATACATCTTCTAAAGATTCGTCTCCTGCAGGGCACAAAAGAAAGCCTGGAAGAGTGCAGAGTGAACATCTGAAAACCCGTGTTTTTTTTGGCTTTGAGCTTGCTACCATCCCTTGCCTGCATCGCAGAAGCATAGCCGGTCAGAGGTCGCGCCATTCACCGCGACCACAATGCGCTGGCTGAGACCATCCCAACCCAAACTCGTGGCCTGTCCGTCCAAGGGGAACTCTGCCACAATTTCTGGGCTCCCATCCTCTGGATGATCCTCAAATCGCAGCCAACACTCTAAACGTCCAGTCACCAGCTGGTGTGTCTTCTTGCGGATTCCTGAGCCAAGAACAGAGCCCTCTGAGCCATCGCACTCCAGCAGAATGAGTGAGCCTCAGGTTTCTTAAGCCAGCAGGAAAGTGATCCTACAGTGATTGAACGAAGCAATGATGTGTACCGTTTGGAAGTGTGTGACTTCATGGCCAAATCATGTTTGAATGGAGCCCTTACATAAGGATGACAAGAGGCGCAACGCGGTGGCCAGCATCTCATGGCACTTTCGATCACATGTGTGTCATCGTCATAAACTGGAAGGGGATTGAGAAAAATGATTGTGCAAGAGGTTCTTCCATTTTGGAGAAAAAGAACTGGTCAAGGAGTCTATCAGTCCACAGAAGCATACAGAAGCTTCATGTGTCTATCAATCGCTAAAGATGCGGGGCAGTTGGATTTTGCTCAGGTTGTCCCGACCACAAATCCCTGCTTGGTCAGCAAGTCGATGTCTGGGCCTGACCCAAAGCCACTGAATGGCTGAGGATTGCAACCCATCAAGCGATGCATCTCGCCTCGCTTTATCGGCTGCCAAGCTGGACCGAACAACTAGTGACTTCAATATTTTTCGCTTTGTAGTACAGAGACCTCTTTATTCTTTGCCGCTCAAACCTAGAAGCAATGGCCTCCAACCTACTAGCGATGGCCTCCACCCTAAGAGCGATGGCCTCTAGCCTACTTGGCCTCCAGCCTACTAGCGATGGCCTCCAATCTAAGACCTCTTCCATCGCGTCCCTCAACAACCAGAATTCCTCTTGCACTTTTGCCATAGCTCCCGCCGAAATCGATCTCCGCAGGAAGTATAGAGATAAGTCCTACAAATCCTGGTCGCCACCGAAACCACGTCAGCAGCGGGTTCCGAACCTATGGCTGAATTCAAACCAATGTTGAGTGTTATGGTCCTTCACCGCAAAGCTGAAATTAGGTTTTGTGATGTCCCACCAAGGTCTATTGCGTGGTTTCGAAGGCTGTTGATCGCTGCTTTCGCAGGATTCCAAGATGCATTTGCAGGTGCCACTTTGTGCAATCATGCAATGCAGCCTTGCTGACACACGTGCAGCAAATCCCACAGAATGAAGAACGATGCATGGACAAACTAACAGAATTTGCTGGTCAAAAGTCACGGTCAAAGGCTCACTGGTGTGGGTGAGAATTCTGTTTGTCCATAGTGCCGCCATCCCATTCGCAGTGCTCAGAAGTCAGAAGGCTTTCTTGTGCCTGCAACCAAATGTACGTGACTCATTTCAGCGAGGCATTCAAACTGCATATGACGTTTTTGACAAAGGACCTGACTATTCAAGAAGCATGTTCCCCAGCAAGTGCTTTTTCTTTGGCCAGCAAATTGAGCTGCGCACAATATGGAATAGCCATCTTCTTCGAACTCTTCCTTTGTCACCCACATCCTGGAAGCAACAATGTATGTATTTCTGAGGAGTTTTTTTTTCTGAATTTCATGTGAACAAACACTGACAAAATACCAACTCATCATTGTTGACATTGCAAACTCGTCTCCACTCAGTTTGATGAAACCTCTTAATAAACATCATTTAGGACCACACTTTTTGAAAGTCGCTAAGGATGCCAGGATTGAGCCACCTGAGCTGGATCAAGTTTGATGCTTAATCCTGGTAGCAGCAAAATTGCAAATGTCCACAAGGCAAAGCTTTTTGAGTTCAGTACAGAAACAAACAGCTAATCACTCGTATTTTGAAGACCTCAGCGCATTTCCTGCCTATCCATGTAGAGAGTTTTCTCTCTGGAGGAGCGGAGATGCGAATCTTGATATCCTGGAAGTTCTTGAAAATACGGTGCTGTAAATATCAAATGTCTTTGGGGAGACGTATCACTGACCCGTTAGAGCCCTCGATGTGTAATATCCCACACACAGAGGAAGTTGGTGTTCTCAGTGGATCGTTTGTCCTTTGGCGCGAGCTTCTTGACTTCATTGAGAAGCCTTCGTGGCACAGTTCGATTCACAGAGCGATGAGTGGCTCGGTGAACTACATCGTCTTCAGGCTGGAAGCTCTTCTCGCGAACGAGAGGGAGGAAGGGAGGAAGGGAAAGCAAAAAAATGCAAAAAGTGAGAGTAGGCTTGTGGCAGCTTACAGCAGCTTTCTATTTTGCTGCTTACTTTCAGGCTCCAGTTTGACAGGGTTCCCTTGTGCTGATTTCCAAACTGTCGCCCATCCCGCCCGCCTGTCCCCGAACTTCTCGAACATGGTGGATCCACCAGACAGGACAATCTGCAGCAAACCCGCAAAAGCGGCGCCCGTCGCAGCACGGTTGCACGGTGCGTCACATGAAACAAGTCTCTGCCTGCGAGAAGAGCGTCATCCGCAAATCCAGGTCAGCCCTGTTGATTGCGGTCGCCAACAACTCGTGTATGCCTCCCAGCGTCGTTCGGAACCTCAAGGCTCTCTCTCCTTTCAGTCAGTTCAGAACCCGATCCATCAACCATTGCTGTGCTGGTATACCAGTGTTGCTCGGGCTACGGGGGTCCCCGAGGCACTTCTGTGGCAAAAACAAAAACCAGAAACACAAATCGAAAAGGTGTTTGTTTTGTCACTAATTTGCGCGGAACATCAAACGGTGTATATACTTTGTTTACCGTTTTTCTGCATAAAAAGGCTAGAGAATCTCTCTTTTGGTTGAAATTCGTGGTCAAAACGGTAGAAATCGAAAGAATGAATCAACGGTTTACCTGACTGACACAGCTCGAAATACTTCAAGAACCCTAAAGTTTACGCTTCTTACTCTTTTCCAACATGACACTTGCGGTCTACAGCGGATCGGATTAACACATCCATTTTGCGTGGCAGGTACAGCACGGTCAGATTTCCACACCCGTTTAAATCTATAATACTTATAAGGCTTTCAGGTGTGGAAATCTGACCGCAACTTAGGTGTCGACATGTTGCACGTAGGATTCTAAGGGGAAAGGGTTTGTGATGTTTTAGAAGTCAAGAAGCGCAACTTTTGGCACCCCAGTGTATTTATATACCGCATGCATTGCAAAAGGGCATTGTTTTTATCGCATGTTGAGTAAAAGTCCGAAATGCAAAAGTTGGTTTTGTCATCGAAACCTGGAATCAAAACTGTAAATATCTAGCAACAAGGGCATCGCTATCAGGCACAGGTGCATCGCTAGTAGCTAGAAGCTACTAGTAACAGGTGCATATCAATTCTTTGGGCTCGGTTCAGTAGTACTTTTCATCGTTGACGCAGTTCGCAAATCGATCTGTTTGACCGACATCCTGGGCACAAAGCTGTAAGAATGCAAGATGTCGCAATGTACGAGTCCCTCAATTATGGATTTTACCGAAAGGCAAATTCTTTAATCGAAAAGACATGCAAAAGCCGTGGTTTTCTTCTTTAGCGGTATCAAAATTCAACTTGTCTCCGCGCTAAAAGCGGTAAAAATCAAATTGTTGTCTTTGCCGCAGTGCCCCGAGTCTCTCAATTGCGAATGTTGCCGAAAGGTAATGCAAAAGAACGTAAAAAGCGAGCAAAAATACCGTTATTTTCCCGGGTCTGTTGGCCAAATGATTCTACCAAAGGCGCAATAAAAACAGAAACAAATTCTCTGTTTGGGGGGGCTTAGTCGACCATGGTCCGATTAATCCACCCCATTCACCTGGATATTCCAAGCCAATCAGGCTCGGGTTGAAGAGGATCTCCGGAGCTCGGAACCTCAGGAGATCGTTTCTTGTCGCTTTGGTCGAACCGGACGGTGGAGACCTAAGAAAAGTGAAATCTTACCTCGCTCGACGTTCAGTCTGGAGACCTGTGGTTTATTCTTGGGTGATTGGCTATCAGTTCGTTCGATGCAAAGTATGTCAGCCTTGTTTGGGAATAGCTACCCGCTACAGTCTGGGCATTGCAAGAAAGAAGCCTGAACGTCTCAAGTTTCCCACTTGGTGAAAGGAGGGCATGGTAAGGGACAAGTTTTGAAAGCACATCAAACCCTTGGATTAGAACCGCCAAAGAATTGGTACTAAGCCCCGTGTCTTCAGTGCAAATCAACTTGCAAAAGAAAGTCATGTTTCTCTGATCCCAGCCTCTTTTGCTCCCATTTCAAGGCGCCCACCTTTCTGTGCCCAAGCTGATGACTGAACCATCAGGCCTTGGGAAGAGCGTTCCTTGTCAAACTCTACCAGGGAGATATGTAACCATCTGGATCATCCAGGCGTCCGGCAACTTGTACTGATGCTGCATGGATGTCTTGTCGTACTCACCCTAGGCCAGAATCAGTCGGTCGGTCGGTCGGTCAGTCAGTCAGTCAGTCAGTCAGTGTCATCTGATGATCCGGCAATGCCCAAACAACAAAAACAACAGATCAGCATCATAACAGTATCATCACCAAGACATTGAGGCCACATCTTGCTCTTCCTTTTGAGGGTTCATTGCCACGTAGCACTCCTGGCACGACGGCTACCGCAAAGGGTGTGAGACTCTAGGACACATCGCCTCCTAAGAAATACGCGAGAGCATCTGAGCGGAGGGAAGTGAAAAGCTTTGGATAACCGACCCCAAGCTTGAGAAGGTATAAAGCTGCAACGCCTTCTCTTTGATTTGGCGGACCACCTCCCGCTCTGCTGAGGTATGAAAGACCTGAGAAAACGGAATTTCCGCTTTGATGTGCATGCACCGTCTGATGGGCAAATAGCTCAAGCAAGGTGCTTGGTCCGCTTCGCAGCTCGCCTCGGTCCCCGCACGTGCCCCGTCCTTCTCAACTGAAGGAGCAAGTGCTCGGTGACCTCGGTGGCGGGGACCAGCATAGCTTTCACCAGCTGCACCCAGCACCACATGCGTTTTTGCCTGAAAATCTCTGAAAGCGATGCGTTTCAGGAAGGATTTGGCTGGCTTTCTTTGGGAGATCTGGGTTGGAGTGGTGGATCCCAACGACCAGTCTTTACATGGATTCCACCCAAGCTCAGGAATCGGGCATCTCGCCCTGCAACGTCGGATCTCATGACCTGTAGCTGCGTTCTGCCAAGGCTTTCAAGGGAGGGCTTCTCTCAGAACGCAAATTGCATATGTATTGCATTCTCTCTATGGCATTCTCGGCTTTCTGAGTCCCCTACTGCATGAGGTAGAGCAAAGCCCTCATAGACAGGAACTGCATGGCTCACACCATCGCCCGAATCAAGAACGACCTTGGAGTCAACGAGAGGAACTGCATGGTCAATTCTCGCAGCCAAGACCTATCTTGGCTGTAAAATCATCCTTCTTTGGTGTCCCCTAAATCGGTCATGTTAGACACTCTTTGGACCCTGACTCCCGTCGTCCTGCCACTGGCGTACAACGACAGGATCGCCTTGGGAGTCTACAGCAGAATTGTTTGAATTTAGGCAACTATCAATGCAACTCCAGCCTGAGCTGATACAAACAATGCAGGGCATCCAAATGTCTCGAAGAAGATCTCAGCTGCCTAGTACCAAACTGTGAATGTTGCAAAACTGTGCTCAAAGTACTTTACCATGTTGTTTGAGCCTAGCTTGCTTGAGATTTGACTCCCTTGCAATGTAAGATTCAAAGGTTTTCTTGAGGCACAGCACCCTCTCACGGTTCTTCCGCGGATTCAGCGGTGCCTCTCCAGAGAAAGGGACCCAATTGAGACAACCACCAAGACTGGCAAGGACTTATTTGCATGTCCTCCAATGTTCCCACGACTATGCCACTATGCCTGTCGTTTGAAGCTCTTCAAGACACAAGTGTGCAGGCCTCCGTCAATAGAACAGGATGCTCTTCTGCATTCACCTTCACAGGAGAGCCAATGCTGCAACTCACACTCCCTCTCTCGGTGGCGCAGTGGTAACATGCCTTCATCTCAGAATAGACGTGGCGCCAGATGAGCTCCATGTCATCCCAATGCTGAACCTCTGTGCAGAGAGAGAGAGAGAGAATGGACATGAGTGAAAATAAACGACGAAACGATCCATCGCAAGTCACCAAGCAAAGCAGAACGCAGAGTGACTAAGAAATGCTCCAGTTGAAGGTCATTCAGCAAGAAAGAAAAAAACATGTTGAGCTCCAAACGATGCCATGCTCCATGGGATATTTCAAGGCTAAAATCCCACGGAACTGCTCTGCTCGCTCGCCTCGGTTTCTTGAAGAGTCTACCGATTTCAACCAACCAGGACTTCTCCTGGTCATGATTGATTCTCACAGTGATCCACGGTGCTGTCGGAATCTGGGGTCTCCCTGAATCACCAGACAGCTGTCTTTCTGACTAAAAAAGGAAAAACTGACCTCTTCACAAGCCAAACAAAAACCTTGCAAACATTCGAGCTTGAATGACGTGTTGACACCAGCTAACCCTCAACTGAGCGTCCAAACCAACAAAAATATCTCCAGCATCTCCCTCCACAGCACCCGCCATCACACGTTGATGTTTTGGCCTGTGACTAGGTTTGAGACATTGTCTCAGTCTTTATGAAGGGTCATTCATTGCAGAAATTGCTGAAAAAGCTTCAAACGCTTCCCATATATATATATATATAAGCACAAAGTAAGAGACACCCAATGCCTTCCAACAAAGGAGGGATGTACCAGCTTCACCTGAAAAGCACTGCAATTTGTGAAAACACTAGAAATCACACGAGTCATCAGGAGTCCACCAGTTTCACCTGGATCGCCTGGTCATCCCAAATCCTAGCTCCACCGTGCTCCACCGTGCTCCAGAGACACACATCGTTCAAACACACTGAACGCCTCGTCATCACCTGCAAAGCCGGCCTCGACACAACGACACGACGACGCAAACACACGCACGTTCCATGCGCGGCCGTCGGGCCAATCCCTAAAGTGCTCTAGTATGGTTTGACCCCTGGCCAACCCTATGCGTGTTCAGTATCCAGGGTCAAGAGGAATGCATAGCCCCCGCAGATTGGGAAGTGACTGTTGGATTGCTTTGGAGTCTGCAAAAAGCCAAACAAGGCTTTCAAGAATCAATACTTCTCATGTTCTCCAGCCTTGATCATGCCAGAGCCATTGTCCTGGCATCTCTCAAAGATTTCAAGGCTTTTAAACATAGGTGGTCCACAGGTTTTTAATAACTCTGCAAGCAGGTTCACTGGGTCAACTTGGCCAAGGTGGCAATGACAACGGGCTGGTTGGCAATGACCTGGCTCTGAGGTGAGTAGTGACATGGTGTGACACATAGGGAGCATCACTCATGCTGGAGGCCATCGCTGTTAGGTTGGAGGCCATCGCTATTAGGTTGGGAGCCATCGCTTCCAGGTTGGAGGCCATTGCTATTATATAGGTTGAAGAGACCTCCTCATACTCTCGATCCATGGCTCAGAACTCTGTGGACATCTTCACGCGTCGATGTCACATTAGCTACGCCGCTACGCTACGGATTTCAATGGTCGCAAATGTGGCGACAAATCAAAAGGAATTGAATGGATTAGGATCGACTCCGTCCAACGTGTCAAGAATACAGCATGCATGGACGAATCATAGTTAGGATATCTTTCTTTTGAGGGGGGCTCTGTGATATCAGAATGCATTGACTTCTGCATTATCTCAGTGTTGCTTAGTGCGCAGTGCCCTTGGTCAAAGTCTTGACAATTATGACTTCAGTCTGGAGCTGCAGCTGCTGATCTACCACTCCAATTATATAACGGAGCTGTAGGCTAATCTGCCAAAGGCAGTAGCAGAAATGAGGATCAAAACCGCGGAGATGCTCTCGTTATAGACACGGCTCAATTCACATCGATCGCAGAATCGGTGTACAATCAATTGCACAAACTCTGGAAGATCCCCTTGTCGGTGGTCATCGGGTCCTCTTCGACCCTTTGAATCGGACAGGGCCTCCTTTTGCCGCCCAATCAGCTTAGCCATCTAGTGTCGCTTGAGTAAAAGGGCAGTAATACTCGCAACACACAAAACTCTTCCATATATTGGAATCTCATGGAATCTCTATATTCTTGTCCTGCATGAACACGCTTCCTGCCAAGCAACACCAGCATGTGCAAAACACAAAGCACCCTTCTTTCAGGGATGCTGTCAGCACTAAATTAGGTTCGGCTCTCCGTTCGCTGCACATCAAAATCCCGGCTCAACTTCTTTAAGCCCCACTGTACACGCTGGCTTTCAGAACCAGGTTGAGCAAGTTGATCAACCTGCGGAAGAAGGGAATTAGGAATTCATCTGATCAGATCCATCTGATCGAACCTGAGAAGTCGAGGAGATCAATGGAGGCCTTTTGCTCGTTCTGTCCCGTGCTTACCTTGAAGCCAGGACACACGTTCCGACTCTATCAAATGCGCGTGTTCAAAAAGTTTCTATGATCTGGTCATTCAACTGCTTTTGGCATCTGTTTGCTTCTGTGAATTTACCGAATCCATTGGGTCAGCCTGCTGTTGCCGAATGAAAGCATGAGATTACAAACTACCTGCATGATGCACTTCCTTTGAAGGAGACCATTGGCATCACGGGAAGGATCTTCACGACTTCAGACTTGGAACCCACACACAGCACCAATCACCTGCAGCTTTGGAGCGCTCCGAAATGATCTCAAGAAATCTCTGAGTGTTCTTGATGGTGAGTCAAATGCATTGAAATACCAAAACCAAACCAAAGTACCTACCTAATGACAGTCCAAAGATAAGCAGGATGACCTGGTAGCCGGGGTTTCAGCAACTCTCCATCTCGCCTTCCAAGAGATCTCCTCCGGACTGTGTAGACACCTCTAGAAAAAGATCATGCAAGCGCTTGAGAATCGGGAGGATGGGACTGGGCTCCAGTCCGGGTGTCCATGTCCGGCAACAAAGCAACTGAGCTCCAGTCCGTTGAAGCTGGTGGCTTTCGTGTCCTCGAAAGTTGAATTTGTACACACAAATCAGGCTGATTTAGGTCATAAAGTCTCTCAATATTGAATGACAAATAATCCTTGATCTCTGATGGCTGGAATGTAAATAAATGATTGAAGCATTGACAACTTCGGTAAAAACGATCATCTCCTCAGTTCTCCCCGGGCCCCCCGGCTCATCACCAGACTCCTCGTCAGTATCCTCATGATGACCAATCACCTCAAAGGTTCCCGTCTGCGGTTCCGTTCCGCGTCGCGTGCGCTCGCAACCTGGGTCCTTTTTCCTAGTAGCTTCTTGTTCCTAGTAGCTTCTTGTTACTACTAGTAAGGCACTTGTTACTAGAAGGATTGGGGTTCAAAGCCTTCGGAACCTTTGGAACCTGGGCCGGATCGGTTCCTTCCGTGGACTTCAGGTTCTCGGATCCTGGCCACCATGCCATGCACGGGCCCTTGCCTGACAAGTACTGTATCGTACTTTTGCGCTGGAGGAAGGTAAGGTGATCAAAGAGAAAGAGGGCTTCTTTTCCGATGTCTGAGCCTCCATGTTGGCACCGCGCAGCGGTCGGAGCTGGAGATACACTTGACATCTGAAGGCAGCTCGCCTCAGTTCACCATTTTCTATGTTTGTAATGTTAGTTTATAAGATCAAATCAGAATTATTCAATCGGCATGTTGATGATTTGCATGTTGCACATGACCCTGCAAATTCAATGTCTCGCAACAGTTCCAAGATAGGTATAGGGCCACTCGAGCACATTTTCTGCAACAATGCCTCCCGCAGCTTCACTGCCTGAGAATCTGCTCATGGTACGACGCAGAAACAACACTAGAATGCAAAGTGAGCACCTTTGTCCGAATGAGCTGTTCAACTCGCTTGTCTTCTGTGTACCTGTCACTTCTGCGTCTGAGACCGATTTATGATTTGTATGATAGGCAAACTCTCAGTTCACACCGGACACTCCAAGCATATTGTGTACCAGTCAGAGAACACAAGAGGAGGCAACAAGCTTCTCCGCGCACTGGAACGTCTCGAGGAAGCTGAGACCTTGTAACATGCAATACAAACAATTCATGTTCGCAAGTGAAGCAGTTCAAGCGCATGATTGGCTACACGCTGCCATTGAGACAACGACGCTGCACAGGGTCAAAGTGATACCCATTGGCTATCTCCTCCTTAGCGTGAATCCATCGTTCCCGGGCACCAACACTTCACGAGCCAAGCCAAAAGCCCTGAGGCCACGGCAAACAGAATGGAGGGACCTTGTTTCAGAAGCTCTCCCAACAAAGTCAGACCTTCCATATCGTCTGCAGAACGTGTAGCTCAGAAAATGATGACCTTTGACGTCTTCCAGATTGGCTTCGGATCTGATGATTCCACTCTTGTTTTGAAAAGCAGTACCAAACTCAGTGAGTCGTAGTGAAAGTCGCTCAACCTCCAGCAAGATGTCGCCAGTCGTTGGAGATGGACAAATTTGCCTGGTGGTAAGGCTTGATGCGCTCAGAATAACTTACCCACATCTCAAACCAGCGGTTCATCAAACATCCTCATCAAAGGTCTACCTCCAAATCACCAACTGTTTAACGAAGAAACTAAAGACACTAGAGCGCCAGGGAACCTAGCGACTCGAGACTCTGTTTTAAAACAACGTTGCCACTCGGTGCCTGCAAATGTTGCATGATGATCTGCCGGTCATCTGCATTGCTGGAGGCCTCTCAATGTGTCAGTGCAGTCACTCTTGCTCCAGTGCTCAGGGTGATCTGGCGATCGAACGCGAGGTCGTGAAGCTGCCGCACCTGCACGACTCTGTTCAAGAGCTGCGGAGGCACCTCCACGTGACCTATCGACGCGTCGTCTCGATCCGACGGGCTCACCTCACCTGGAGCTATCGACCTCTCGATGTCTACACATGTGGAAGCAGACTCCAAGAGCACAACTAAAGTGGAATACGAACAGAACCAGTCCCTTCTTGCAAGATGTCTCAAAAAGGCATTGAAGGCTCACAACACAAATGCGTGTTGCAAGCACGTGTGCTTCCGGAGATGTTTGAAGCTTCTGCGGTCAGTCCACCTCTATCTGTCAGCTTCCAAAGATCATCCTGCAAGTTTGGCTCAGTGTGTCGCTTTACCAATGTGCAATGTGTGGCAAGACACTTTTACGTCTGGAAGAGTGGAAGTGTTCGAAATCACTGAAGTGCTTGCTGCATCCCTTGAAAGCCATGAAGTTCACACGCGCCTGAAGACTCTCGCAGTGACAAAATCTCCAACGAAAGGCCTTCCAAGCTGTGGCGCGGCACCATCGTGGGTGTTTTCTTCGGCACCGGCACAGAGGCCAACGCGAAGAAAAGCAAAAACAGAAAAACTCAAAGGTCCAAAGAAAAGGACGAGAATGACAACATATGGTCGTTCGAGGAGTCTAGAGATGTCTAGAGTCTAAAGCTTGTCTGGTTCTGGTGCCACGCGTCTGGTTCCTTGTTGCATGGGCCCACGAGTGTTTGCAGCTTGGCGTCCAATGTCGTCCAAACCGCGAGCACCGGAAGGGGATTCCACATCCAGCCTTCATGCTTTGACAGGCCCAGTCTATAGAATATGGTCCAGTCTCCTACTTAATGTGCAATCCCAGCAATGGTAGTTCCCACACTGTGCCAAACAAGCGCATATAAACGATTTAATGATTTGATGATCTGATGTTCACCTTCATATTACTTTCTAGGAGCATCAAGTGACGAAAATGAGCCACATTGCACTTGCCCGTGGAACATTGACTTCTTGGGTTCGATTCATGTCATTCAATTCAGCTACCTGTCCTATTGAGCAAACATGTAGCATCGTGCTGTCTATTCGAAGCCGCTCAGAAAAAGTGTCTTGTGACAAATACCCATTTCTTTCGCAACATGTGAATCTCTGAATAATGAATCCGTTTGCAACGCTGCTGATGTCGCTCCAAACGTGTCAGTGCCCAAGTGTTTCTCTGCCGTTCAAAACTGGATACACAATCCTTCCATGAGGACAGCCTCACAAACAATAAAGACAAGTTCACAATTCCCCCAATTCCCCCAGAGTTACAAACATGTGCAGCGGAATGTGTGTTCATGAGCTGTATCTGAGAGTGAAAGAAAGGTCCATACTTCATCATGCGTCTCTCCCGCAGGCAGGTATCATCTGCAAAATCCGGACGTCAGCAAGGAGAAAGTCAGCAACAAGCAAAATACACGCTGCCCAAGGATGCGCAAGAGTGCTCTTGGAGCTCGAAAGGATGCAGGCAGCAAGGTGGGCAAACAATCTGGAAGAGGAAGTACACAGTTTCCCCAGCTAAGGCTACTAGTAACAAGTGCCACGCTAGTAGTAAGGCACTTGTTACTAGAAGCGATGCACTTGTTCCTAGTAGCAGTGTTGTTCTCCAAATGTGCTCCGAGAATCTGCCGCGTTCGTCGTTGGCGAGCACCTTTTGACAAACTTGCCCAGAGTGCACACAGAAAGACCTGACCACGATCTCACTGTTCCCGTCGTTCGGGGGTGCTTCAGTGGGCACATCGACGCCCAGTGGGCACAGCGTTCTGTACACGAGGGGGACCCCTTCTGCGAGCAGCTACCACTGGGCCTGCGCCGGGGGAGGCCCTTTAGTCTGGCACAGGGGGAAAAAAGACAATCGATATGAAAAGAATGCCGAATAGATTGAATAGATTGTTTGCAACCCTGCAACACAAACAAGGTCTGTGATCGCAAAAAGACATTCCCTGATTGAAATCTGCACCTGCCAGACTCTCAGCTTTTCCAAGCCTGTCCAGACTTGACAGGCTCGATAAAGCTTCAGCCTCACGAAAGAATGCCTCGAGTCAGTGGTAAAATCCTGGTACAGCACCTGTGATTATTCAAGGACTTTCATGGACTTTCGGCTCTAGACATCTCTAGACTCTTTCGACTCCAGACATCGTCAACGCGGGTCGACTTGCTCGGCTCGGGAAGGTCTGCAATGAATTTTGTGGCACAGGAAACAAGCTCAGCTCTCAGGTGCGCTTGTGGCCGCTTGTTCCTGCACCAATGGCCGATTAAAATGAAGAGAAAGGAATATATACCCAGGATGTGAACCTACCAGGGGTGTGATTGGCTCCACCCATCCACAAATGGCAACAGCCTGCCGTGCTCATGAGGTCACATACTGGAACTATGAGGTGAAAAAGCGGGCAAAGCGCCGAACATGCGAAGCATAAGCATAGACTTGGGCTGTGGTGCAGAATGGAAGAGCTGCAACCCGAGACGAGATCAGGATGCCCGAAGTCCTGTCGCATTGCTAGCTGCTCCTCCAAAGCTTTGTTCCGCGCCTGAAAGGGATCTAGGACCGACAACCATGATTGGAACCGAGTATGGGAAGAACCTTGAATATGAATAAATATGCTCCACTCTAATCAATGAAGCGGGCCTCCAGTGTGGCTCTTGGCACCCGAGCAATAGAACCCGTGGTGTTGATTCATGCTCAAGAGATAGGTTCAGGTGGAGGACACTCTCACTGCGGCGAAACTACACAGCCTCAAGCTCTGCAATTCTGCTCTCGGCTGCGGCAAAGGCATCCTCCTGAAAGTCAAAAGACCACGACTTGGCAAAGAACCATTTAGTGTCCAAACAAGATACTTGGTGCCCCTGTGCATCCAACACCGAATGCAACTACCAGAAACGGAGCGTAAATAATTGTTGAACCAGTGCTCCCAGGGATGACTTTTCAAGCAAGCTCTTGAAAAGCGAAATCTCAATTGCTCGGATCTGTCCAATGATCTCTGGGGCGACCTTGATTCACAAACAGCCTGCACAAAGGCCAAAGGGGCCTACTTCTTGTGACAACCTCCAAATGCATGAGCCCAAAGCTGGTCCTTGGCTTCCGATGCACCCTGTGGGGCCTGGTTCACAGATCATGGCAAGCCAAATGCTTCGACAAGTTGATGTACATATAGCTCTGATCAGGCAAGAAGTAAGAAAACTGACCTGAAAGCTTTCAATACCTCAAGAGAAAGAAAGGCAACTGAGTCTTCGCATGCAGAAAGGCTGCGGAGGCACACCCCACCAGCCTCAGAGCCCTGTGTGAGGGGAACTTCTCCTAAGGGTCTGGCTGGTTGGGATAGCAATTCCAAGCACAGAAAACCGTGCAACAAAGGTCCGGTTTGAACAAGGTGCAGTTATAACATGTTGGATGCTCCTAAGTGGTAGTTTCTGATAAAGAAAAGTCTGCTGGACCGCTGGAGTACCATGGTGTACCACTTTTCACTAAAGCATCAAGCCTCGTATCGAAAAATAGATTCGCAGCAATGAATGAGTGATTCGCATGAGTACTCTTGCCTCTTTCTTGCCTCTTGGTCTGCAAGTCACTCCAAGGGCTCCAGGTGCAACAAAACTGCCCTTCTACAGATTCAATTTCAATCCACGAAGTCCAATCGCGGTTGTTCTGTCTGGAAAAAGCCACGTAAATAGAAACTTAGCTGTATGCCATTGGACTCTCTGGTGCTTCTTTGCCAAGCCACCCATGGAGGACAAGACATTATCACGAAGCCTGAGTCAAGAAGTGGATGTGCCGGAAAACCTCATGGCCCTGCTTCTCGGATAGATTTTTTCGGCAAAAAGCTAAAGACCTTGCCACAAGTGGCTCACACGATGATTCCCTGCTATTCTGATCTGAACATGTATTTCGTCCTGTGCAAAAACATCTGAGCGCCAAGCGATGACATTGACGCTGTGTCTAGGCGGCCTGAAGCAGCAGTAAGAAAAAGCAGGATGCCATTTGAACAAAGGTGATTAAAATGTCCAAGGCATGTACCTGTCCATTTCAGTCCAGAAAAGTTCAGAAAACTGATGACAAACAAGAAGCGTCTGCTTGAGAGCACGCCGCTGCTTTCTATGCAGCAATCACGGCAATCAGTATCATCACTTTCGTCTGCAGCTTTACAAAAAGGGAACAAAGGGAACTCGGAACATGCATCTAAAACGAAGCACAACAGACTACGCAGTTTTAAACATGAATCAGCAGGCTCCCAGTTTGAGCCTGCAATCTTCTCAGGGACCTGCATGGTTGTTCATGGCGTGTGCAAGAGTGACCCGTGCTGATTGAAATATAACTTCAGCAACATCTTTCCGCCGTTTGTACTGGTTGGTACTGTCTACCTTGGGTCTTTTCAATACTAATTTCAATTACTCTACACAAATACTGATAGTATACAGCAGTATACACAAGAAAAAGTTCAAAACCCGCCAACGCTGAACAATTGCTGTATTTGAGGAGCAACTCTTGAAGGAACTGGGTTGTAGCCCAGCTTTGAAGGGCCCAACCCCCGCAGCAGGTGTAGCAAAGGCCTTCCAGGGTGGACAGCCCTCACTGTTTAGGCCCAAGAATGAAACTTAATGAATAAAAGTATCGGAAGAACGGAAGATGGCTAAATCCCAAAACCTTTTCAGACCCTGGCTGCAAACTTGCATCATGCCAGGTGACCCCAAGATCCTGCATCCCACACCGCCTCCAAGGAGGACATCAGGATCTCCGGCAGCTCGGCATCAAAGTCCGGCACCTCTGCAGTTCTGTTGTTTGGGCCAACGGAGCGCCGAAGCACCGTGGGTCCTTTGGGGTCATCTCACAGGATGCAGAGCTTAGGCAAGTTAGCCAGCAAAGGTCGACTATCTAGTCTATCTACTATCTTACTATGTTCGGCTTGACAAATCTCTTTGCCTCGACAGTTGCAACGGGGGCAAAGGCTCCTTGATGCCAACAAGGTGCAAGGTCTTCTAAACATTGTGCTTCTCCAAAACGTGGCTTGTTCTTGTTGGCTCTTGGTTTTGAAATGTTGTTTCCAGCCGCCATTGCTTCTAGGGTCCAAGTACAACACCACAACACCAGTGGCTCCATCTTTGCTTGGACTCTGGTTTATGGAAGCTCTATCTCCATTTCTATGCCTCTCTCTCTCTCTGTGTTTCTCCTAGCCCCTGCACGAGGTCAGCCGGCAAGTAGCAGCTGTATCCTCAAATTCAATGTTGAACGTCAATCAAACTTGAAAGCTTCCTCTACATGGAACCAACGCCCCCAAATTCGTTGTGCAATCTATCCTCCCGCCACGTAAGCATGCTACCAAAAAAAATATCAGCTTCAGTGAGAACTTCACACCAGAAACCATTTAGTCAACAATTTTGGATCAGTTGGAAAGTAATATGCCAATGCATTGCAAGCTGACATTGACGCGTAGATTTCTTCTTCAGTACATGTCTTCAAGGTGTATCTTTGGTCTCCAAAGAAGGAGTTCGGTGTTCCAGTAACAAGAAGCTACGAACGGAGCAAAGGGCATCGCTACGAACGGAGCAAGGACGCTACTAGGGGCGCTCCTGGCCATACTAGTAACAAGAGGATGCTACTGGGGGGGCTCTTGGCATCACTACTAGGAACAAGAAGGTTCCTGAGGCCTTGACTCTGCAAGAAGGCCCGGCGCCTTCCACAGCATGAAGCCAGGTCAACTAGCACCAGCATGAGCACCCCTCAATGACCGTTCCTCCCTGGTAGTGGGGGGTTGCAAGAGAGAGAGAGAGAGAGCTGGTAACATAGCTTTTGGGTGATCTACTCGTTTTTGATCGTTGACTCGTGTCCGTTTTCGTTCCAATGACTCCGCTCTCGTGGCCCCGCCGGCTGTTTTCCGCTTCGACCATCCTGGCGAGGACTGCGGCGTGCCGGAGCTGCAACACATCCAGCGATACGGAGCTTTGGCTCCCAACCAATCGATCAAAACGGTCGAATCCCTCACTCAGGTTAGAACTTCAGAACTTCCTTTGCACATCACACTGAATCGACTATATAAGTCAACACCAATAGCAGATTTGATGCAACCACAAAAGAAACACGGAGCGTCCAGTGCAGTTCCAGCTGTCCTGGAGAGTGCTGCGCGGGCCTTTTCGGCCTGCGCAACATAGCCTCCAGGCTGCAATGCAAAGTCAAGTCAAATATATTCCTTGCACAAAAAAGGGGGGCCTGGGATCCCTTCATTTAAGATCTTTCTTAATCAAATGCCTGACAATACTTGATGTTCCTCAGGATGGGAGTATCTCCCAACCTGGCCACATCTAGGTAGAAAGCCCTGAGTTGCGGATGGCGAGGTCACAGCCACAGTTTCACAACCCCTGTGGGGGAATCCACCTTCAACTACTGAGACCACCCTGTTGTGTATCAGACCATGGTATTTCTCGTTCGCAGCTTGTGCACCCACGAGAACTCAAGTCAATTTACATTCAGGAATGCACCTTTTTCGTTGCAGCAGGCAATTGAAACAAGGTCATTGGGCTGCGTCTTGTCAAATCAAGATATGCGGAAGCTGTACATAAACGGCAACATCAAAATCTGTGTATATGTACCACTGTAATATGTACACATCATGTTCAAGGACAACTGCGTTGTTGAAGTACAGCAGTAGAGAAAGGGGAATAATTATTGGTCTGAGTCTTGCTCGGCCACAGCGGTTGGAGACAACGTCTCCAGCAAAATCCGTTCAGCTGAGCCCCCCACGCTCGCGAAATTGTCGCCGCAAGGCCACCTCCCGGAGGGCAGAGTTGTAAGCCTTGGGCGGGAGATCTGACGTTCTAAAACGCGGTAGGCTTAAAAGGCCACCTAGTAAGCTCAAGAGCTTTCAAGGAAGCTTCCGGCACCTGAGGGCGGGGGGAGTTTCCTTGAAGAAGCCCTCGCACAGGTGGTCGCACTTCAGGACTTCAGTATCTGGTGGTATTAATTCCCAATGTAGGGTTTCCCAATGTTGTAGCCATTCTTCGGCACTCCACAGGAGCAAGGACGCTACTAGGGGCTCCTGGCATCGCTACTAGGAGCATTCTTACCATTACAACCGCGAAACGAAGAATGGCTTCTCACCTCAGAAGCCAGCCTTTGGTAGCTTCTGCAGTCGGACGATGTGCTGGGCGTGGTTGCTTTGTGCCTCCACCAGGTATGCCAAGTAAAGAAAAAGAAACACCATGAAACACGTGGTTGCTTTGTGCCTCCACCAGGTATGCCAAGTAAAGAAAAAGAAACACCATGAAACACCCTGGCTTGAAGAAGGTGTTGTAGTGAATCTTGAATCTTCTAAGTAGCTGGGGCATCTGGCATTCACTTCTTCTTCCAAAAGGGCTGCTTGCCTTTCCACGTAGCGGACCTTGTCGGCCGGATTTGGATACCCAAGCTGACACCAAACTGCCGCCCCCTCACAGGCAGCGTGGTCTTCGACACAAACGGCTTGTGAACGCTCTGAAAAGGAAGCCAAAAGCATTTTGAGAGTTCTCCTTCCAAAATCTCCCAAAAAAAAGTCACAAGGACTGCACCTTGGACTGCACATAGGCCACCTCGCGTAGCCTCTGAACAAACATCTGGTGTTGCCGGTCCTAGGCCACCAAATCGAGGTCAGACGCGTTCTTCTTCTTTCCGAGTCGAACGCGAACGCTCTGGACGGCGCGTCTGACGCGTCTGAGCGCCCAGCCCAACAGCTTTGAAGCTGGTCCAAGGCGGTGTGCACATTGGCACAGGCGGTCGTCACTCCTTGGACACCCAAAGGGGAACGGGAAGCAAAGAGCGAGGTGGGGCGGTTTCGGGAGGTTTGGATGTCTTGTAATTCGGCACGAACAAACAGAGATGCGATGCATGGGAAGCAGATGGCAGAAGGAGACTAGACAATGAAGAACACTGCATCAGGAGGTCTTGTACCACAGGGACACATTCCCAGTAATTTTGATGGATAGAGACACAACAGTGAATTCTGCTTGAGTGCAGAACCTGAACATCTCGTTCGTCTGCTCTATCAGAAGCCCCACTCGACTGCTGAGGCCATGACTGTCTCGCAGAAGCGCTGAACGCTTCTCGTCCTGTTCGAAAGCCCCGGGGTCCGACCAGTCGGTGGGAGAGTCCATCTGGTTCATCCAACATAATACGAAGGGGCATGTCCCACAAAAGGAACACAGGTTGACATATCCCTGTGGCCTGTGGCTGTCCAGTTTGTTCACTCTAAGGTTGGAACCAGGTCGCCTATTTCTCCTGTTTCATTCGACAACACATTCAACCCACTTCCATCAAGCCAGGGCCTCAAGCACGGTTGCAGGGGCGGCACCAGCAGAAGGCACCTCAGGGATTCTCTGGTCAGTGGAAATTGCTGAAACATCAAGTGTACAAAAAGCATCCAAACCATTGCAACTCTGAAGTGGAACAGCTGAAGTGCAAAAAACAACTGAAACATTCAGTAGGACATTGTGCAACTCTGAACAATGCCTGAGGTCAGCACTAAGGCTCGCAACCGAGGTAGCTCGCTTTGCGCTCGTGCCTGGTGTTAAAGATTCAACATGTTTGGGGTGCAGAATCAAGGGGAGTGATCTGCAGAAAAGCATTTGCAACGGAAGCAATAAGGCAGCTCTTGCTTCTTTCTCTCTGCGATTCGATGATCTCGGAATCACTCACATCATGAATGGCTCACCGATCTCATTGCCAGATCGATGTGCCAAAACAGGTCAAGTGTCTTGCCTACTCTGTAACACTGCAA